GAAAAAAGGATAAGAAGATAACACTTTTTTTTTTTTTCCTATGAAGAGCTTTTTCTCTGATCCTCATACACCAAAAGCTAGGGTGTTTTTCCTTTCTTTTCTGCCTAACTTAGCTCCTTGTCTGGAAATTAAGCAACAAGACTCTACACACAGAATAACATTTTGACTTCCTAAGGAAATACCACTGAAACACTTAGTACCGTTTGATATCTCTCTTGGGAAAGCAAAACACATTTATTAAATCATGCATGCTAACTCCAAAAGCCAACAGAAGGAAATAACTGCTTTATTCTTTGCACTGAGATTTTGTACAAACAGGTATTGTCACGGATTGCTATGCACTGATCCTTTGCTTATGCAGCTTAGAGGATATTCAAGTAATATCACCGATACTGTATTTTGCAATCTATCCTTCATGTTCCAGTTCTATCACATGCTTGTACAAACTACCTGCTGCCACGCTATTAAAAAAAAAACCTCTGTTTTCAAGTAAGTTTCAAATTTCCCTAGGCAATTATATGCTAATTTCCAGAATACACTTCACCTAATATTAGTATCGCATGATGATGAAACAGATGATCTTTATAAACACTTTTGTGCAACCAAGAGGTTTTGTTTATCTTATTTCTATAGAACAACAGAATTGATTACGTGGCTGGGCTTTGAGAGATCTGCACACACATCCAGAATACCTGGCTTCAGCTGCCAGCTTCAAACTCTTGATCTTACTCATTTTCCAAAGTGGGATATGAAAGGCCACATCACTCCTGGCACATCTTATCAGTCATGCTTTACAGTATGACTTGCCTTAGCTATGACAACCCCCTGGATTCAAGGCAATCCTCGTATGTGTGTACTGATTGCCATCAACAAGCCATCTCATCTCCAAGGACTCACATGGAGTAGCCAAAAAGGAGGAATAGGATTATGAAACACTTATGGCCACTGGGAATTTGGGATTTCAGAGGCACTAATTTCTCCCACTTCCAGACACCTATGTCCCCAACTACGTGGTTCTCTAAATTCAACCTTCTTTCCCAGATCCTACAAGAAGATGGAGACAGATACTAAGCTAGCACAGATCGGCTGGACTGTGGAGCCAGAGAACCTATAGTGCCAGATTAAATACGAGATTTTCAACTGCCTGAGAAGTTTGCTTCAACACTTCATATGATGAGTAGGAAGGTGCAAAAAAAGCTCTTTCTCTTCTGCAGAGAGTGGAAGGAGGACATTAATGTTCAAATGTATAACAACATTCTTCACAGCACTGTGAACTAATGCATTACTTCAATTAAAAATTACGTGCAAATACGTGCAATTTTTTTTTCTTTTGGTACTTTTCTTCCCCCCCACCCCCCTCTCCCCCCAGTTTCAGTATTGTCTCTTGCAGCATTTTTTTTTAATAAGTTATTTAGAATATTCCATACTAAACTCCAGCATTACTGAGATTATTTTAATACCACAAAAAGGAGGTAGGTAGGACCTGATGGCAAAGCATAACAGCTGGACTAGAAGCAGAAAAAGAAGTGGCACATTTACTCCCCACTTCCTTAGACACACTTGTAAGATTCAATTCCACACCTGTAATTTCCTAGAGGACAGTATAATATCTGAGGAATTATAGTCAGTGATCCTGAGAGTTAGAGTTCAGATTTTTAATTGATAGCATGAATTCTGGCTTCAGATACAGAAATTCTTGAAAAATTTCCATCATCATAGGTGCACACACACAGAGAAAGAAACTACAGAAGTGACATTCTAGGCATTACTAAAGAAGCAAATCCAAAATTATTTCATACTGACTTCAACAGATACAAGTGGGGATTGAAATGAATATGACAAGACATCCTCACCACTTTTTTATTATACTAAGGGCCTGTATATAATGACAAACTTCCAAAAAATCTGGCAATAAAGTTTCAGGACTTAATACTGATCAATTACATTTTTAAATTCAAAAGAAACAACAGCAAAAGAGACTATTCCACTCATCTATCAGACTATGGAATGAGGAGGAAGGAACACATCCTAATGTGAAATATTTAGTGGCGTTCTATCTTAGGCTCACCAAAGGAAGTCAATGTGTAACACTGAGGTAAAAAAACCACAATCTCTATAGTCGGGGGTTTTTTTAAGTAAAACTGCAACCCTTCAAGTCTTTGTTACAGTAAAAAAGAAAAAAAAAAAAAAATCAAAGGAAGCAAAAGGTCCTCTGCTCTGTATAACTATATTTCTGATTTGACAGCTACAATTATAATCATTCAGACATCTATTTCCCACAAACTCTCCACAGCCATAACCTTTAGTGATTAATTATAAAGTTTCAGGAGCAATAGTACATAGACTAATTTCCTAAAACAATAAAAGACAGAATTTCTCATTTGGAGCTAAATGAAACACGAACAGGTTGTTATTCATGCTGAAATCTAGATGCAGAGTCATGTTGCAGCCATTACAGAAGCTATTAAACACAACCTCAAATCAAAGAAACTGTAGGTCTCTCTCCTAAAATAAAATGTTTTTCTCACTTATGAGGCTTCTGACTCCTTTGCTCTGTTCCTTTTTACCACCTCTTAGTAAAAAAATTTTCAAAATTCAATTTTCTTTCTCATTTTGCATTCCCATTTGGTTTTTAATAGTCATTTAAACTGTAAGAGTCTAGAGCAAAACAAACATTTGGTAAAGGTTTCAAGCACACAGAATTATCATGGTGTTCTTTTCACAGTGAATCAAAGTTACAAAACGTGTATCAACTTCTAAACAAAATGCCCACCCTCTTCATGCCCCATCTCAGTCTCCAAAGAGTTTTCTGTAGTGAATATCTGATAATTCCTCAGTTATTTTATATAGTGAAACGTATAGTTAAGTTTTACATTCCTTTCATTTTGGTTTTCCTTTTTGACACATCCTGCTGTACCTACTTAATGTAAATCTTTAAAAAATGATCCTCCACTAAAGAGAGAAACCATGCATTGCAAAAATGATCCTAATGCTGGCATTGCAGATACTAAAAAGAGGGGAAATTGTGATTTTTAATATGATTAGGTTTTTTTGTTATGGACTTATTTCGCCGTCTGCAAGCAACATTGGCACTCGATCCAGCAAATTTGCTCTTAGCAATTTTACTGAATTAGGCAATGAAAAGGGGAAAGAATTGAGTAAAGGTCTTTACATAACTGACACCATATCCTTAGCCTTGGGCCCCACTGTAACTTAGCTAAAGTCAGTGGGAATTTTTCCAAATATTTAAACCGGTTTTGAGTCAGTTGAATTGCTAAACCACAGAGAACTTTCATTTCATATGGATACTCTTGACATATTGTCAAAAGGCTGGTATAATAGTTCCCTATAAAACTCGTCAACGAGGTACCTAAAATAATAATATTAATGTACTGAAGATTCTCCCCATATGAAGTATACAAATTTTGCCATATCAGGTAACACACAAAACCATGAACATTCGAATTAGCAAGCTTTTGTACAGCAGCTTTTGAAAACGCTAATACTAACCCTACATCTTTTCTGCATGAAGCTTCCTTGCTTTTCTGTAGGAATTCTATCTTCAGTCGTATTTCTTAGCATTCAGTGAAATTTCATAATTCATTTTGAACTACATACAGACTATAAAAGTTACACAAACTAAATATGCTTTTTCAGTGCTTTTTTCTGAATTCAATATGCACTAATTGATTAGGGTCTGAGAGGTGAATAAGAGATACATATCCTACATAATAGAAAGCTATGGAAGGGTTTAATGCATGAATTAGAAGCCAGATTTCTTCAATACAGATGAGTACACAAAATTAGCAAAAGGCAATACCACTTTTGGAAAGACTGCTTTGTGCATAATTTGTCATGAATTCAAAGTTACTCCTTTAGAAAATGAGTCTAAGACCTCCCAGCTGCTGCTTTATTGGTCTAATAAATTACCATTTTGATGGTACAATGCATATACACTATACACCATCCAAGCAAGCAAACTGTTAGAGCGGCTTCGTCTTTAGAGACACATGTGTGACTTCAGAGATGTGTGAATGCCAATGGGAGATCTGAATGCAATGAGGGATCAGACAATGCCTCTGTTCTTGAATTGATAATGAAAACAAAGGATGCGTAAGTTTCCAAAACGGTCAGAGCGTATTGTAGGTTCGTGTCGAAAGCAGTGAGTCCAAGTGAACCTGCTCTTATTATAATAGGCATCTAGCAGCTTTCTGAGACAAAACGGATCTATCTTATTCTAGGTTCTCTACACTATCCAAGTAAAAATCTCTTCTATTTCCCTAAAAAGAACATTAGAATAAACAAAGAAGATACCCTCTTCAAAGGATCCATTTCTGACTTAACCTTTGAACCCTGTTCTTGTGGAGCTGGGACTTGGGGAGTTTAGTTCAAGTTTATACTAATGTTTAGAGTAGTATAGACTGCACATGTGTTCAGTGTCAGTACTTTCTACCCAAGGTTATTCCAGCCAGGTAGGCCATAACAAACATTTATCATGACTCTCCTTCATAGCTGTGGTTTGCAAACACCCATTCAAGGGAAGAACAAAATGTAGAAAAGCCAGAAAGTTGGTGATTTAGCATTCCCTACTTTACCTTTTGGCAGTGAACTGTGGAACTCATAATGAGTTCCAACAACCTGATGTTTTGGAAACTTTCCATCATTTACAGGAAAACTCTAGACTCACTGTATTATTGCCAATAGAGCAGTCTTTTGTTACTTCAAATATATTTAGGGAACAGTTTAAAATGTCTGTATTCTAACATAATGAAAACAATCCTTCACCAATATTTTTCAAAAAATTAATGAAGGTGGCTGTTAGGAGGAAAACTGGAGGAATACTGGAGGAATGGGTGCAGTAATTTTGATTTGACGCTGGCAGAGCGAAGCTTACAAAATAAAAGAGCACAAGAATTTGAGATAGATTTTGATTTTGTTTCCCATGCACAAAAATAGGTGTTAAGAGCTCCCCTACAGCTCACATGCACAGCATTACTTACCTGCATTAGAATTGAGCTCTTCATTTTCTGATTCTGTTCCATTTTGACTTCCACTTCCATGAAGGCTATTCATTGCCATAAGTTTCATTTTCTGTAACTTCATAGCCTCTGCCATGGCAGCTGCTGTCAGACCTGGAAAAATATAAATAAATACAATGCAATATCATACCATACAACGCAGCACTGAAAAATATGAAGAACAAAAAACAATTCCTTTCAGTGACAATAAGTCACATGAATTCAATACACATTCTTAGTCCAGTTATGTAATGTTATTCTGAACACTATCTTTATTTTAAAGTTGTTATTTCAGTACACCATTATAAGGATTTTTTTTTTAATTCTTTCATGTTTCTTCTTCTTTTTTTTTTTTTACATGTATAGCATAAAGAAATATTTATTTAATGGTATCCCATTTGATTAGACTCTTAAATATCACTTCCTGTCACTTTGATCATTTCGTCACGTTGATCACTTTCTGCTTAATTTATTTAGCTGCTACAAAATTTCCAACTACACCAGTAAGATACAGTATTAATTAATTTCCAATTAACATGGAACAATCAATGCTGTACTATTATATTATATATCCAAATATTATTTTGTCTTTTTCTGAAGTCTGTTGGTTTGGATTAACATAATTGCTACTGAAAAATATAACATTGGAAATGCCAGAAAAGTACAATATGGGTAATTACAAACTCCGTCTCACCTCTAACAGACCATTAAGACCAGCACAAATTTAAGGGGGGTTAGTGGTAGAAGATTTTCAAGTGACTACAAACCAATTAATTTCCAATAATAGAAGAGAAGAAGTAGAGTACTGTCAGGGTACAGGCTACCATCATTACCATAATTTTTTTAATTATTATTTAGATGCCCAATATCTTTTTTTAGTAAGAGTAAACTTTTGAAGTTTTATCATTTTGACTTGGTCAGTAAGAGATCAGATTTTCTTCCAGACAGTATCAAATTACTTTTACTCTGGGCAAGATGTGACTGAAAATATCTTATCTGAAGTTCATCTATCTTGCAGGAAAATACAGGGGATAAAGCCATGTAAACAAAAGACCTCTACAGTTGTAATTGTTTATTCATTCCGCTATGGATTAAATGGGTTTACTGTCTTCCTCCCAATATAGTATGACTTGCTTTTGTCATTTGCTAAAAAGCAAGCTAAATCCTTCATATCAGCTATCTTGTAATTGACTGTGCAATAGTTCCAGAAAATCACTGAACTACATTTACCAAAAAAACTATGATTTTTTTTGTTGGTGGTGGATGTTGTATCAACCCACAAAGATATCATACATCAAAACAGAATTAAATAATCTGCTGTTTCTGCAAAGTACTGCTTACTGAGAGATTAGATACTGATTAAAGTGAACTAATAATTTTCACATCCTATACTGCCACACATCCATAAATTAAAACACTTTCTTTTAAAAGCTGCTATGAATTTGACATTTAGATTAGCTCTGCTGCTCCTATAATAGGAGTTAGAAAAGTTCTCATTATTTTAATTATTTTAATATGACTTAAGTAAGCAAGCCATCAATAGACTCCAACTGCATGGAGGAGGGACATGTATTATCACATATGCATAGAGCAATTCGGTTAACTTCAGCGAAGATATTCCTGATTAGTATCAGTAAGGTGGAGATTACAGGTTATGAGATGGGAGTTACACAAGCCCTCTTCTCTCCAGGCCGACTGATCTCCTCCCTCCATCCTGCCTGAGAGCCTCTCAACATTCACAAAAACAAACTCCACTTACACACTCCTATATTCCCAAAGCACTGATGCCAGTTCTAACAAATATTATCTGCACTAATTAGGCACTTGTTTTACTGTTTTGTCATCGATACATGAAAAAGTGTATTGATTTTATTATTAATATACACTAAATACAAACATATAAAAATAAGTTCAGAAAACAACATCAACAATCTTGTCTTTTAGGTAATTTAATGCAGTCCTCACTTCATACGGAAGACCACTATACCATAACAGTACTCACTTTTTATTTAAAAATAATTTTTTTTTCTAACACCTTTTGAAGTTCTTTTGCAAATGCTACAGGTTTTTTTACCAAGCAGATATAAAATCCTGATGTTTAAACTCCTGTTTTTACAAATTCTCCAGCTCACATCGCTCACACTCAATCCATCAAAGAATACATCTTCAATGATAAAACTGTTCACACACTTTCTAGAGAAGATGAAATAGTCTATAAACTTTTCCACTTTTTTCCTAGGGAAAGGAAGTGGGATTGCTCTTTGAGTTAATTTCACATGATTTTCAGGAAGTTCAAAAAACAAGCATCAGCACAAGTCTTCTGAGGAATTTACTGTTTTCAAGATTTCCGGGCACCTGTGTGATTTGCCTGCCTACCTGCTCATCTGCACTTTTCCTCCTTATCCCAACCAATTCCAAGTTTTGAGGTACAGCCATCACTTAAGCATTTTCAGAACTTGTACCCACTCACAGCCTACTCTCTTTTCACTTTGCATTTCTAATCAATTTGCAAAGAATTCACATTTATTTTAAAGGTTACAAAAAACAGAGTCTGAACATGGGAGTTTTTTATCATAACATCTTATCATTTGTACGCGCCGAAATACATATAGATGAACCAATATCCCAGTAAATATTTTCATCTGGCTCAGTGTTTATACAAGTTCTTGATACTGTAAGTCATAGAACTTTACTTAGCTTAAATATACAAAAGAGTAAAGAAATAATTCATAAGGAGATAAACAGGGGAAGTGAATTCAGACCTTTAGTAAAACGGTCAGTGAAAAGACAAGACAAAAAATTATACAGGACACTGTATAAAACAACAGAACAAAACGAAACAAAACCACCAACTTCTGCTGAACAGTTGTATCAGAACCGTAACGAAGGCCGAAAGGGTACCGAGGAACAAACAGAAAAGAATAAACACAGTCCCAAAATCACCACGACGATGCCTGCAGAAATTAAAGGTAATTATTGTCAGGCATTTTTGAGCTCCCTAACCAGACACAGCTGCCATAAGGACAACAGCCAAAAAACAGTGATGTATCAGAAATCTATGCTGTGCCATCTGCCACACCAAAGTCACTCTATTTCAGCATTAAAAGTTTAAAGAGTAAAGCATAGTCCTAATGCAGAAAGCCGTATAGCCTGAAGATCCTGAGCAATAAGGCACAAACTTGAAGCAGATATAGCCAAGCCTATCTCTAAGCTCAGTATCAAAGTCTTTATACTCTCATTCACTTATACCCCAGTCTATATAATTTCTTACTTGAATCGTGATAGCAGTAAAAGCCCCAGAATCTGACTGTATGAGGCACTTTAAAAACAGCGTACTAATTCTTTAGCATTTCTGAAAGCTAATAAAATTGAGGTTAAAGCAAATGGTTTCAGCAGTAAGGGTGTGTTACTGATTGAAATGATGGGAGAAAACGTACAGCAAATCACCCATTGGCATAATCTTCAATTAAGGGCTACTGCCACAGCTAACGTTACTGAAGCTACTATTTAATTTAACTATTAATAAAACTCCTTTCTCTAATTCACTCAGCTCCTGCTAGCTGTGGCAAAGAGGCTATTCTTCAACTGACTTATCTAAAGATCTACAAAGAACTGAAGAATCATTTCCATCCTCTCGGATGAATCATTATCAGCAGCAGAATCTCACTTACAGTACCTCACTTTGAAAAATGTACTTGAAAACTGCTGTAACATATACATCTACCCCTCTGCTTTCACCCTTAAAAAAAAAAAACAAAACCAAAACAAAGGGATCACTAGGAAAAGCAACATGCTGGATTACATACTTCAAAGCTTCCCTTTTTTCCTCTCCATTTACACTTTAAATTTCCCTTCCTTCAGTTATCTTCTGCCAGCTGTGATTAATCACTAAACACCTAGGAAATAAACTACGTACTGCTTATTATCAAACATGTACAACCTTTACAATACTAACAATAAAAAAGCATGAATCTCATCACAGTTGCAATGATTTGTTTTCAAAACTGCTAACAACCATGTGGCTGGTGGAGCTAGTCCTGCTAACAGTAGTCCACAACCCACCAGTTGCCTTGGCTGAAAGACAGCAGCTCCGTGAAGAGCTGGTAGGGATCTTTAAGAGAGACACACCAGCGCTAATGCAGACATCTCTGAGCCATGTTCTGGGTCAGCTCTCTATATATGAATCTTGATTACAACTGCATAACAGATTGTGATGGTGTGCGCTCAGGTACACCTGCATGGCGCACATGGCAAAACAACCAAATGCCATTAGTAATCTTCATAACTTCAGTTTTGTCAGGACACTGTGTACTCTCCCTTTGACAAGTCTGCATAACTCTGCTGTACAACACACAAATTTAGCCCTGAAATAACCCTTCAAGAACAGACAAGCCAGCACACTTTATGCTCAGGTTGCACCGAAGTAAAATTCTGCAGTTGTATTCTGAACTGACGTTAAAATATACCTACGCACCAAACAGTTTTCAAATTAAGGTTTTTGATCCAAATCAGGACCATACTCAGCTTACTGAACATGGCACGCCACATTGCTCTGGGGAAGACTCGCCGCTTGTGGGGCGTTGGAGATGGAATAGACCTGAATGTCCTGTGAGGCTTGGTTGCTTCTGTGAGGGCTGGACCCACTGAACACATCCTCTACTCCTAAAGCCAAGGTACCTGCAGTGCTTGAGAGGGTGTGAAGACCAGAGAGGTTTCTCCATTCCTTGTCTGCATCCTATTAAAGTTAGTGGTTAATTGTTTACTCAAATATCCCCTACATAGAAAAAAAAACTACTGAAGATTATTCCTCTGTGAAGTCTCAGGAATTATTTCAACAAAAAAAGCATTTCTACTGCACAGCCCAAAGATCACAACTCCAAGGTCGCTTGTAGTGTATCCCCCTCAGGGCCAGTATCCCATTACAGGGCAGTGCTGAATCCACCTACTTCCCTGAGCACCAGGCGACAAGGGAACAGTATCTCTTGTCTCGAGTAAACACCACAATTTACTGATTAGCCAACACCTTCTTGGAGACATAAGAAACCAAAACTCCATTACATTCCCACACTGAGGTACCTAGGGCGTCTTGCATGCAAGTGAATCCTCCACGTTTA